CTAAAAACCATATGCCAAAAATGTATGCAATATAACAGTGGTTGCAAAGCAGAGACCTGCCCCCCCCAAAAAAAGATGTTCCTAATTTTCGCAGGAATTCCTTTATTACCTACAGTTCTTCCTCACTCTGATTATATTAGCATAAAAAGACTAATGCAAGCACAGTTTTGTTCTATTTTAATCTATGTAAACGTGTGTTGTATTATTAAAATACTCAACACTTCTTGAAGGGGAAACGAGCAGGAAAAGGAAAGTTTTTTTTTTAACAACAAGAACAACAACAACCCAGGGACATCCTTAAATTGACAAGAAATCAAATAACTTTAATTTTGGCATCAAATGCTTTGGTCACACCATACTGACACTGTGATCTGGGATGCTTGTTCTAAACACCCAGTTATGAAAGGTAGGCTTGTTGTAGATTTCTGTTTTAAGTTCCAACATAAAGTTCACTGTCTCCCCAAAGGGGAGTTAGAGAAAGAGAAAGAAAAAGGTGGTTTGCTTTTTTCCATTTTTTTTTTCATTTTTAATAATATGGATTAATCTATAAGTCTACAGGAGCAAGAGAGAAAGGTGCCAATTCAGCCTTTTAGTGTACATGTTCTGCAACAAAGTTGCTGAAGCACTTTCCGTTGGCAAAGATTATTCTTTTTCACTAGCATACAGAACCCTCCTTCGGCCCAAGATTCTTCCGTTGCTTCCAGAGGTCATAGAAAGTGGAAGGAAGTTGAAGTTTTGAACAGCATGGTGTCAAGTGGAGGAAGGTTTAATTTGTCAGACAGGCAAATTTGATGGAAGAGGCCATTCAGGATCAGGTAGCAAATAGGAAATTGTGTTTCCATCAAAAGGAATTTCAGTCACAACAGCATTTGTTTTCAGGAAGAAATATTGTGTTCCAGCAAGGAGTGATTTGTATCCATTATGAAAGGACAAAAAAAGATCAGAAGGAGAAATATTAGAAAACAGTGAAAAATCTAGTAGAAGATATTTTACTGAGTATTATGAATAAAAGAATACTAAACAGCACATCACAAGAATATATATACATAATTTACATCAAACAGAATGCATCCAGAACAGTAATGTGAGCCCTTCTGCTCCAAAAAGTGCTTATCATAGGGGGTGTACTACCCACTGTAGAAATGCAAGGAACCTATGGCCACCTGCAAGTGTTGCAGGGGCTTTATGGGTGTGTTCACTTGTTAGTTTCCAGAAAGAAATCTTAATCTTGTACACGTCTCAGGCTCGTCACACAACTTTCCTACCTTCTCAGGATGGGTAAAATGTTATGAGTGAACTTGACTGCACTGCTGCCACCCAATCTCCAGATCAAAATGGCTCCTCTGTTCTCCTGAAGCTCCTCACAACTTCCATTCAGCTTTGGAGTGTTAGGGGACTGTCTGGAGGAGGTCTTGGGAGCAGGGAGGAAGATATTGCCCTCGGTCTATGTGAAGCGTAGTTGATGGGAGAACCAGCCATTTCTAAGTTCATCTAAATTGTCTGAAAATCATTCTGAAGCTCAATTTTGCTTGCTGCTGGTTTTGTTTTTGATCTGTTTCTCAGATTGTTTGATAAGAAAAAGGGCATACTTTTAATAGGAAAGTGTACATTTTCATATGCCTGTTTCAAAAGTCTGAACTTCCCCCACTAACTGAAGTGTGAAGACAGTATGCTTGAAGTTGTGTGTTAAAAATGCTTTTATCTAAGTGATTGCATATTCAGGAATTTGTAAACATTCCTTGAAAAGAAACACTCCTAGTGCTGGAATCTGGGATTGTGAACAGGACATGTTTACATAATTTGCAATCACAACTAAAATTCTCATATATCCCTAACAAATAATATGGGCTTTTAAACCAATTATTAGCAAGATCCCACATTCAGATAAAAGCAATCTATACCATTCATTGTTTTCTTTCTTCCATGGCAGGGAAACATATGCATGTACTAGAGATTCATACAGAGTTAAGATTTCTTTCTGGTCAGTAATGGGTGATTAAGCATTATGTTAGTACATTTATTGTAAATCAAAGTTAAACTAAAACAACAATCCTTTGATTATTCCATTGGACAAATGTTAGCTAATAGTGTCTCAATAAACTTGTTTCAACCCTTGCTAACCTCAGTAGAATTGGGGGACATTAAGCACTGCCGCTAAATGGTCACTCAGTAAAATGTTATGCCAGTGCCTGTTGGTTTAGTGTTTTATCCTCTGTGTGCAAGAGCAAGTAGAGGAAATTACTTTTTCAGCAATGCTTACATATATTTTCACTGACGTGGAAAGCCAGATATTCTGATAGTCTTGCAGAGCTTTAAATAAGGACTTTGGATCTGTATTTAGGATGGATCCACTGAGCTTGAGAAAGTGAAATTCTCCACACTTCCTTCCTATGGCAACCATTGCAGGCCCCTGAACACGCTATTCAGAGAGTCAGGATTTCCTGCTGAATGGGAAGAGCTATTTTGTGTGAACAGAGGGGGAATCTCTGAAATTGGTTGGAAGGGCCTTCTGAGAGCAGAGCCCTTTCTCTGATGGAAAATACCTTATAGTTACAAGCCTAGTTTAACTTATGTAATAATTGTACTGAAATGTAGGGATTTTATGTGGTTTTGACTGTGTTCATAAGGAAAACTGTCCCATAAGCCAAAAAAACCCCCAAAACAGTTGCTTATTGATAATTTGCCCCCAGAGTCCATAAAAAGTGAAAAAAGGATAACTGTGAAGTAAAACATGAGGGAGCTCTCAGAGTATCAAGGCAAGGAATGGGGAGAGTGTGAAAAAGAATTCTCAAAGTGGAGGCATTCACTCTAGAGGAAACTGTAGCTGGATACAAATCATGATCCAATTGGGAAGAAACACCTGGAGAGGGTAGTGGTGACACCAAGGCAAGAATGGTGGGGGGGGGGCAGGGAGCACACTGAATCAGCAGGTTCTCAACAGCCACACTGTAGGTGATTGAAAGTATTTGGAAGAAGGGGTGCTAGCAGTGCACAAGTAGAAATGTTGTAAGAACATGACAGCAGCAGCTGATGTTGGTCTAGCTGGGTGTGAGTTATGGATATCTAAAGACAAAGGGCTAATCCATATTGTGCCCATCATTAACCTCCACTGAGATGTCCTGCCAATAACCAAATTGTTGGCATTCATTACCTGATGTTTATTAAAGCCAGTTAGAGAGTTTTGGAGAATTACAAAGCTGTGGGTCTCTTAGTAATCTGGAATACTGCATGGTAATGTTTCCCAAACAGCTTTACGGACCTTGTGGAGCTTCTTCCACCTGATCATATGGAACTAGCAAGAATCAAGCAACTATAACAGAATTCACAAAAGTCTGCTGTTCCATTGTGAACCTTATTCCAACACACCTTACTCAAGATGCTAATAAAGCCAACAGGAAGAGGGATTGTTTACAGGAATTTTTGCTTAACCCCTACTAAATAATTGATCAAACTTTATGAATTGTAGGTTACATCAAATTCTTAAAAAAGTAAAACAGCTGAGAAAAATCAATTTAGTTATTTAGGATGCATATTGTTAGTCTTTTACAGTAGTTTTGCACAATAGATTGAGGCCTGGAAGAAAGTTGCTGCAAGAAAAATACAGTTGTACTGCTATATTGTTATTTCTATTGTTGAATGGAAACAACCATTCAAGGCTACTTACCTTTGCAAACATGTTGCTGATGCAATGGTTGCTGCATATCCCCAGTGCATAAAATACTCAGGGACACAGGGTCATGGCAAAACATCCCCCCACAACCCCCCCCCAAACTGTCTACCAGATTGTGGGGAGGAATGCTACTGGTAATAATTTGCCCCAAATCCCCTTGATTATGTCTAGGTAAATGCTTATATTGACCCACTCCAGTAGCAAGACGTTAACATCCACACTCAACCACTTTTCTGTTTCCTTTCTTCTACGTATTCTGCCTCTTTAGACCAGTACATGAATACATGTTGGAGCTTTGGATGATCCTCAGATCTGAATGTGTATGCTTGTCCAGAATTAGCACATTTCTAAGCTGCAGAGGTTGTAACTATACAATATCAAAATTCATTTCTTTTCAGTAGCTAAGCACTCCCACCCTATGTGCAAACACAATTGCATTTTGGGAAGTGCAGATTCCATTCTGTAAATCTTATTTTACTCATGAATCGTTTTGGCCCAACAAGATTTTTTTCTGTTGAAGTAAGTGATAAAAAGGTCTGATCATAGCAGTAGCAGCCACAGCCCGTGAGCCATTGCTGTAGATCCTGATTCTGATGATTATTGATAATGAACATTTCAGGAACTATATTTCTTATTGTGCTGCAAAGAATAGACATGGGACCTCTATAATTGAGTGGACGGATATACAGACATGTTTTACGAAATACAACAGCAGAAAGGAATAGTATTTTCCAGGGCATAATGCATTCATTATAGCAAATGTAAATGCTGCAAAATAAATAGCCATCCCAGCAGCCTCTATTACTGCTCCCAGAGGCTCCCCTTTGCCATTTGTTACACATACATGCGATTTGTTAAGACTGGAAAAATCAAAAACATCTGAGCATACTACACTGTGTACAATTTAGGCGATTTGGCTGATTCGTTCTGTCATATTTCAGTATTTTACAATAGAAAATATTCAAATAATGTATTTTTATTCTTTCATAGATATATTTTGGACTTCCTTTTGGAATACTGTTTGATTATTTCTTATTTTATGAAGCATGGCATTTGAATTGTTAGGTTAAAATACATGATGATTTCAGTTTTCAATACATTAAATATTTGTTAAAAACTAGCAAAATTATTCACATGACAACATAAATGGAGAGAAGCTAGATTTTAAAAATAGCCTATTTTGTCTCCTACTGTAAATTGAACATAGTAAAGGAATTGAATTCAAGAGATCCCTTTTGGAGTGGGGAGTGTTATGAAATGTGAAACAGATGTTAAATATTTGGAAAAAGGTAGGAAAAATAATTTATTTGAGACAGATAAAAACACTCACCATCTTTACAGACTAGACCAACTACGCAGAGACCTGTATCTAAGATATAGCCATTTGGACAACTTGTACAGTTTTTCTCACTTGGACCACTGCACCCAAAACAGCTGGGGTCACATCTTAATGAAAAGATATCACATTATAGATATGGTTAATAGTAAACATTAGAATCACAGTCTTACAATCAAACACTGCATGATTCCTTCAACTTCATAAAAGAATAACTGCAAAGAATAACATAGTACATTTTTTTGCTATGTACAAAAAAGTAAAAGAGCAAAAATAGTATCATGAGAAAATATGGCTACCCCACCTTTATTCTGTTTTTCAGCCTTTGAAGTTAGGATCTATCAAACCCCCTACCAATGTATTTAATAAAATTCTTAGACATCACATTTAAGGAATGTGGCATTAAATAGAAAAGCTTTAAGTTCTGGCATTAAAATAAGCCTTCTATACCTTACAGAAAACCTGTAGTTTGGTTCCTATGCCCTAAGCAGGGGACTGACACCGCCATTAAAAACACAGATTAAGGGAATTATTTATATAGGGAAATAAAGTGCTGTGCTTCAGATGGTGGGATAAAGATAACTAGAACTGACTTAATTTAGGTCAGTGGAAATCAATGCCCCCCCCCCGCCCCCATTACAAGTTTTTGTCTGAACTGGCAAATGGAAGTGGGAACCTTCTCCCATAAACCCTTTGTAATCAGATATCACCATTCGATGTTTGGACTGAATATCCTATTTTCTTTTCCCATAGCTGTAGATCTATTTTGGCAATTTAAGTACATTGCCCTGTGATCTTGTTCATGGGATTCTGCTTGTTTCTCCTGAGCAACTTGACAGACTTACCCTATTATTCGACATGACTCAACATGAGAAGAATCTCAATTTCCCCCTTTCTGACCAAGGGAGGTTTGTTTTGAGAGCCTTTTCATGTCTCAGTCCTACTGAGAATTGAACAGAAGAGCATGTGCATTACAGGAAGAACAATGTAGGGCAAGTAGTAGTTCCCAGGTTTAGTCCCTGGCATCTTCAGATAGGTCTGACATTGTGGAGGGCCACTGCAAGTCAAAGATGGCAATACTGGGCTAGATGGGCCTATGGTTTCACTATAAGAGAGCTTGCTATTTTTCTAGTAACAACTAAGTTCAGTATACTCCATGGAAGAAACCTAGTATTAATTCTACTGTGCAAAAATTTGTTTCCACTCCTTTCCCAGTACCATCATCTCTTTTCTCTAGCCTCAGGAAAGAAACAATATACATTTCATATCTCCTAGCACCTAATGAAGTCTTAGAAAAGTGCTTGCACATGCAATCCAAAACGCACATGAAAAGTTTATATTAAATTAATGCTTAAAACATGATCCACATAGAATTATGCCAGTGGCATGCTTTCCTTTTAATCATGGTTTATGTATTAAACAAGTTAAAGTGTGCATCAACTTTTAAAAATAAAACAAAGCTTTCAAAGAATGTCATTACCTTTTGCAAGTTTTGTATCCATTTTCGAGAGAGTGATCCAAGTAGTAGCCATTGCTACAAGCCACCACACATCTTCCATTCTCCATTAGATAATCTTCTGTGCAATTTATGCAAGCATCTGCTCCTGGGCCTCAAAAGCCAACAGAACAAACAAGGTAACCTACTGATGCATGTACAACATTGCATAGACAATGGATATGTATTGTATCTGCAAACACATTGGCTGGTATTGAAAGAACTGCGCGCAGAAAGCTTCCATGGGAGCCATGCACACTGATTACTTCAAAAGCGTCTTAATCCTCCCTGCAATGTTTGCTTCCTGAAAAGTCACTTTAAGAAGTTGGGGAAGCTGCGTTGGTGTAGTTAGGAGGGGAACTAGAAAGCCCCAGAAAGATCCCATTCAATCTTTCTGTAAATGTACATGTCAGGTAACACCTGTGCTGCAGAATATAACAGTAGTCAATGAAAGATTTATTTATTTATTTAAAGTTGTTGCATGCCGTTCCCCTTGCTATGTAGCCTCGGGACAACTCACAGAAATAAGCCTCAGGACAGCTCACAGAAAAGATTCTCCAAAATCCTATTTTCTTAGGCTGTTATTTACAAATTTAACTGCGGTTACTATATACAAAAAGACATCTTGTGAGAAGAGTTTCTTTTGTTGAAATTGCTTCTGCTTGTTGTTGAAATGGCAAGAAGCAGTGATCTATAAAGACAATAAGCTATTTTTGTAACAAATCCCACACATTTATACCATCATGTCACATGTGAACAATGCAATATGTACTTTTTCCATAGTGATACCTTAAATGTCTAAGGAAATGACTAAGAAAAAATGTCTAAGGAAATCGTGGGTCACAATTTCTTTCTTGATGTCTTAATTCTTTGATGTGTAAAACAGAAATTGTCTTAAATCTGTTGATTTCAAGAATGCAAATAAGTTTTTTGGGTGCTTTCAAGTGATGTTTTCATCAGGTAGAAGAATAATTATTTGATATAAAATATTATGAAATCCTGTACAGGTACAGCAAAAGAAATTGTATTATGGTGATTTCAGTTCAAAGTGTGTGACAATATTTTGATTAAATTTTATTACAAGGAGGATTACATTATTTAATTTATAGGAAAAAAATCAGAAATACCTGCACAAGAAGCACAGGAATGGTGGCATGGTTCACAGTCCCTGCCATTATAATATTTTCCTTCTTCACAATGGATAACACATCTGGATCCTTGTAAACTACATAGCAATAAGAGAACGATAAAATTAATTAGCAAGTACCAAGTAAAACAAACTTGCAGAATTTGAACAAACTTTTTTTCAAATGAAACTTATGATGCCTCATTGATTTAAAGGATGCTTATAGATGAAGCATTATACCTTAGTCCTAAGCATACTCAGCATAATTCTGCAGAAGTCAGTCATGCTTCAATTAACTGTCTAGCATTAGTTAGCTGCAAAATGCTGCTGAAATGCTTAATATGAGTAACATCCACTAGGTTGAGTCTACCTCTTGGAAGCCTGGCTATTTAAATGCATAGAGGAAAAGACTTCCAAATAATAATCTATACTGAAGGAATCATGCAGCTGACCTGAGGAAGGCTGGGATTTGTGTTTCTCCAGCCCTGTGCTCTATAGCAGACAACTTTTGAAACTGAGGTGATTTTCAGAACAGCCTGTGATATTCCATGAAGACCTGATGGCATATTAAAATATCCTACAAAGAGTATCCAAAAAGTAGTTCTCTGAATCCTGGCTAATATAATTAAGATTGGATGTTACATTATAGATTATTATAAGCATTTGTATCCATAGAACTAAAAATCACATGAAATAATAGAAGTTGGGTCATTGTTCTGTTGTAGGAATCAGAGAAGAGTGGTGTGCTTTGTGTTTTCAGAAATATTAAAAATGAAGCATCATTTCAATGTGTGGAATTTCTGTGTGAAAACTTTGGCAACAGTAACGCATTAGCCCACTGTGGACATTATGATTCGGTTCCAAAGTATGGTGCCCCTTTTACCAGCTTTGGGTGGTAGCCCTGCTGTGCCTGCTATCTGGACATCCTGCTTACGGTAATCTGTGCTCTGGTCATCTCTAGGCTAGATTATACTTGCTTATATGGGCCTGGCCTTGAAGACAGCTCAGAACCTGCGGCCTGTGCAAAATGTGGCAGCCAGATTGATAGAAGGTCTGAACATATAACATAAATTAGTTATATGTTATTAGCTATTTTCTTAGTTATTCTATTCTATTCTATTTCTCTCTAGCTATTCTTCCTATATGCTTCACACCTGATTGAAGGTACTGATTTTAATCTATATAGCCCTACATAGTTGGGATCAGAATACCTGATGGAAGCCTCTACTAAGCACAGTGTACCCAGGCACTATGTTCAACATTTGAGGCCTTCCTCTGAATACAACCTCCAAAAGATTCATGGTTGGTGGCAACAAAGAGAAGGGCCTTCTCTGTAGTAACCCCCAAATTATGGAAGGATCTCTCCGCTAAGACCTGCCTGGCACTAACGTTACTAATTTTTTAGTGCCAGGTTAGACAGCTCTCTTTGCCAAAGCTTTTGGCAAGATCAAATAGCTCATGGGGTGAGCTGAATTGCCAGCTTGTTTCTTTTTTAAGCAGGCCTAGCCATATGGACTTTTTCTAGCTGTTTAGTTATTAAAAGGTGGGTTTAAATTATTAATGTAATTTTATGATGCCTTACTGAATTTTATTGTATTTGTCATTTTTACAAGCCATCTGCTTGTAACTTATGAGAACTCCAGTGCTTTTTTTGTAAGAAAAAAGGTGCCAGAACTCATGAAATTATTTACCTTTCACACATAGTCAATCACTATACACACACCCACACACGTCAGTTGTGTAACGAAACATAACAGTCGCCACCCGCAGTAAGCACTCAGCACGCAACCACACGACCAATCACAAGCCGAGCAGCGCCACAAGCTGAGCAGCGCCATCACAACCAGTATGGACGAAGTACGCAAGCAGCCCACATGCACCGTTTTAATGATTTTGCCGCCAACCTGCTACGCTCAACAGGGCGATTCAATTCTACGTGGACCAAACATCAAATTTTCAAAAGTTACTTTTAAAACTTGGAAAATCTATTGAAAAAAGGTGCTGGAACTCTGTTCCAGTGCGTTCTATGACAAAAAAGCACTGGAGAACTCTATGAGTGAATGCTCAAGTCTTGTAAACTCAGGGCCATGGCTTCTTTTATGGAATCATTCCATCTCATAGCTGCTCTTCCTTTTCTTTTATTCCTTCAACTTTCCCTAATGTTGTCTTTTCCTCCAGGGAGTCTTTCCTTCTCATGATGTGCCTGGACTAAGACACATCATGCCTTACTTTGGTTTTGTCATTTCTGTTTGCATTTATTATATTTTGAAGTAAACAAATAATGTCTGCATTTATTATATTTTGAAGAAAACAAATAATGTCTGAACATGCTCACTGTTGGTGCCTGGGCAGTGTGCTTGTGCATCAGTGCACATATAAAATTGGAAGAATACTTTGCCTTTCGTTTTCTTTGCATTCAAGGCTTTTTTGCCCTTACTCACCAGGATAACATGAGAACATGATAAATATTACTATCAGACATAAACAGGCTGTAAAGCACATGTGAAATAATTACATTGTGCAATTTTGCTTGTTGCCCAATCACTGATACCAATACCTCTACGATTACCACGTTAAGTGCAATCTATCATTTCCTTACCTGAGGCCATGTCTGCATTCTGTGCAAGTTTGAAATTCAGTGCATGTCCTACAGTTTTCACTGCATCTGCGGCAAACAATCCTATCTGGAAAGAAAACAATGCAGTTCAGGAGAAAAAAACAAAAAACAAAACAGTTTAATGACATGCAATACAATGTTATGGATATGTCTCATTGCTTAGTGCTGATTCTAACTTGATGTCATAAAAATGAGTTGAGGGGTAAAATAAAATGAAATGTCAAGTACAAACTAAACTTCATGTCATTGCAATTATCTGTATATTGCTAATACTTCGCAGCAGTAGGAAAAATTATTTCAGTGTAATTTTCTTTCATTGGCTTACTGTAAGACTTTTCAATAATGCCTAAAGATAGCAAGCTGCCATTTCAAAAATACACATAAAGCTTTATTTCCTATTCTTGCTTCATAGTACAAACAAATTGTTTCATGAACATAGGCATGCAGTTAATAATAATAGTTTCTACAATGCCAATTAAGATGCACATGTAGACATTTGTCTCCATCTGCCTACTATGTATTGTGAGGGAAATGAAATGTTTTCATGTACTTATTGACTCTATAGCAATTTCTATTCTCTGGTTAGTCAACTGCAATCATGCAGACACAACTGAAATCAATACATTTGACAAAAACGGTATAAAAACAAAAGAGAAAAGTGAGAGAAAGCAGAAAGTTGATACTTGTGGTAGGGAAGACAAGGTCAGTGTGAACTGAGATGTCCTAGGGATAAAAACATGATTAAATTATAGCGATGTGGCAAGTTTTATTAAAACTTTATACAAAAACAGGGGAGAGAAGGAGGAATACAAATCAGATGGAAATGAGAAATGGAGCCAAAATGGCTCAGGGCTATAAGGGAAACTTCAGCTGCCAGCAGACAGGCACTGAGTATACATTTCACTAGAAAGAATGGATATACATTTTAATATAGGAATAAATATAAGCTGTCGCAGCAAAAAGTCAAGGCTGTTGGTATATCAGCCAGATTGGTTTGCAATTGTAAAGTTAATAATTACAAAGTGGCTGAGGAATGCTGGGAGTTGTAGGCCTTTTTTTTGTCAAAACTTGCATAAGATTGTGCCTAAGGGTCACTTCCTCTCCAGATTCTCTTAAAATCTATGCAAATTAAAAAGCTAGTTCAGTCTTTAAATTACAGGAGGAGCCTGACCCTCTTAGTTATTTTTATAAGGCTACTGGGGAGTGAGGAGGCATGATCTGGCTAAAATTTGGAGCAGCAGCAAGATGAGTTTTACAGATTCGTTATGTCACACATGTAGCCATTCATTAATGTTAAACTCCTACTCTTAACACAGCTTTCATGGATCACTATAAATGTGAACTATAGAGCTTTCTGCATTTTTGTTTGGACAAAGGAGGTCAACTGAGTTTCCAAGCATCTTTCCATTATGACTAGTGCTGCAAAGCTCATGAGACAATAGTTTGTGACACATGATCTGCATGCATACATGAACATTATCTGCTGGGAAAGAACTCTTGGGGAAAAACCACAAACTTTTCACAAGAATTTTGAGAGCCTTATAAATGGCGAGCCAGTTCCAAGTCTAACCAGGAAAGATTGTTAATCTCTAAACCAGAACACTGCAATGTACCTTAAATTTTGCTTGCTGGATAGAGAATTAACATTTGACAGCAGTTAATTTTAAGACTACGAAGTGGCAAGGATGAGGGATTGCAAGGACTACAATATGCATGTTAAATGGTGAATGGTTTTTATATTATGGTAATAAATGGCTACTTGAAGCGAATTTGAAACAATCTTTTGCTGTCTGTATAAGTGCTTGGCAGAGTTAGTGGCACAGCTCAGGCTATTTTGAAGATTTAAGCAACATTTTTATGCTAATTCTTCTTTACAGAGGAAAATAGAAGGGGAAAAGCAGCAAAACAAAACAAAACAAACTAATAACCCCCCCCCCCACACACACACATAATAGACAGAAAGGAGAACTTCTGAAACCAAGAAATTCTGACAGTCATACTAATAAAATGTTCCAAGGGAAAAAGATATCTGGGAATTATAGTTTCCTAGGGCTGAAGTAAAGACCCAAAAGGTCTGGTATACTATTGAGGGTCCAGTGCACTGGTTAACAAGGCTTTCGGGCCTACTGAAGCCCCAGGAAGCCTGTATATCATCTGGCCTCAATTCCATCACTGATGTTGGAATGTATATTACAATAAAATGAGAGATGCAGCTCAGAATGGACCAAACTCTTTTGTGAGTCTAGGTACAATTCAAAATGCCTAATATAAGAATTCACACAACTCTGAAACTTGGCAACATTACTGCAAATAACAATTTTAATTATTTTTTTCTTTGTTTTTGTGCTTATATTTTTTAAAATTCTGATGTAAGTCACTCTGGACATTATAATTTAAATAGTAAGTGGGATCTACATTGTTTAATAAATACCATGTACCTAACTGTATATAATGTCAGCATGAAAAAATATACTTCCAATATTATAATGAATGAAGAATGTAAAAGTACATACTTACTATTATCCAGGTAAAATCCAACTGGGCAGTTGGTAATACAACTTCTAGACTCTTCGTGAATATAATAACCTGGTTTACAGGTATTGCATTCATCACTGTGACCTCCAAAACATGTTTCACAGTTGGGTGAGCATTTTTTGCAACGTTTCTTGTCTGCACTATAGTGACCAGGTGGACAGTTGGGGACACAGATGCTTCATTATACAACAATAAAAGACAACCAAAACAATGCATTAATTTGGAAGAAAAAGCAACAGTGGTTTTTCAAACATGAAGCATCCATAGTTATAGAAGTAAGAGTATAACTATGTGTAGAACATATCCAGCTCTTCTGGTTTATTTTTGCATTGTTTCTAGATAAGCAACCCCCTTCTACCCTTCCATAGCCAGTACGGTACAAATGTGACTATACAATGGTCATGTTTGTTACCTTTGGGAAAAATAATGTACTGTGTTATTTATTCCCAAGGCCTTTAATTTTATTTATTACATTTTTATACTGCCCAACTGGAAAATGCCTCAAGCCAATTTAAAACATAAAAGCAAACATCAACAATAAAATAATTATAAAATGAAAGTATCACAATAATTAAATATTAAACATTACAAACATAAACTATAGTGAATACATTGAGGTATTAGCAGCAAAAATAATAATCAATCAACAGATTAAAGATAAAATGCCTGCTTAAGGGAACTATTAGTGCAGGATATGAGTTTAATTAATTAATACATAAATAAAGTGGAAGGTCTGAACCTGGCATCTAAATATAAACTGTGAAGATGCCTGACAGATCTCTTGGCAAAGGGGATTCCACAGACGGATGGCCACTACAGAGAAGGTCCTTTCCCTTGTAGTTACCTGTTATATTATTGTGAGTGATGGTTGCACACATGCATTATTTCAATGCCTTTCCGTATATAAAGCCCGTGGTGACTAACAACAACAATAAAGGTGTACTAACACAACTGTAGAGGTCAATAAAATGAATTAAATATATCAATAGCCATAAACATTAAAAAGGAAGGGCAGGTGAAACCAATCAATTACTTCAATCTACAATGAAGCATATGGAGATGAGTAAAAAATAAAGCCTCAAGGTAATTTGAGAGACCAAAGGCTGGTCTAAATAAATAAATATGGTGAAGTATTCATTTGAAGGGCATAAAAGAAGTGGAAGTTCCACAGTTTTGAGTCAACCATTGAGAAAGCTATGTCTCACAGTACTATCAAACATACCTCAGATACCAGATATAGGACTCATATGCTCTCCACAACTTTAGCCAGTTAACAGTCTGTCTGAAGCATTCTGAAGTTTCCAAACACTCTTCAAATGCAACAGCATAAATAGCACATTACAGTTGTTCATTAAGTTATAACTAAAGCATGTGTATTCATGGTCTGGTGTTTTAAGAGCCCTTCTAGCTGTGACCCTTGCAGTGCAGCTAATTCCCTTACATTTTTAACCACTTTTGTGGTGTGTACAAAAGGTGATGAGTACTCACTGGCTGCTGCTGCTTAGGGACAACCAAGTGGCACATCAAGGGACTGACTGGGGCTGCACAGGGGCAGACATAGCAATGACACTGGTTCACAGCATCTGGACACTTTTCAGGCAAGAACCTGGAGCATCTACACCCTGCAGCCCTGGCCTAGCGCCTCCCTTTACTGCTTCATGGTGTAGACCAGGAAGAACATCACCCCGTTTTCCATAAAAGAGCCTTCTGCCTTGCCAAGAGCAGCTAGCTCCTGTCCACTCTGTTGTTATTCCAAATTCCCTTATCCTGAGGCTGAGTTAAAAGAGGGAAATGCATTAAGACTCTAACATATGCATTATCATGTGACATGCAGTTAGCCTCTCGAAGACTGATGTTCACTGCAATGTTGTTCAGTGTGTTAGACTGACCCTTCCTGAAAAATGAGATGCTTAATAAAAGTGTTCTGAACAAGAATTCTGCCTAACTGCCTGGCAAAGTTAGTTAATAATACTATGAATAAAGTGGTATTTGTATTCACAATAGTGTTGTGAAAATGTATATAATAACAAATATACAACTACTTCTTACCGTGTGTTGTTTTTAGATTTGTAGTAATAGTGTAGACAGTCGTTGCAGTGATCTGGTCCTGGCCCACCACATCCTACTTTGCTACACTCTGCATTGCAAGGCCCTTTTGTGAAATGAAAAATATAAAAATAAATAAAAATTATGCTTTCTCTTTACTACTCCACAGAAAAAGATCTGAACTGAAAATGTGAGGAATTCAAGGTTCCTGGGACAGACTTCTGCTGCCCTGTAGCTGGATTGGTCCCTTTTTGGCCTTGGAGTCACTATTCAGGACCAGGTTTTTTAGTATTGTCTTTTTTAAAAAATAGGACATTAATTAATAGTGGGTTAAAGGGCCTACCAATGTTTAACAAAAGTATATCAATCAACCTATCTGAAATATATTGTTACCTGCATAGTCATCTCCTCCATAGTCTTCTGTAGGATCTTCTATTGGACTTAAACGTACTCGTTCAGCTTTCAGAAAAGCATTTCTTGGAGAGTAAGGCTGAATAGATGTTCCATAAAGTACTAAGGACCATTCTTTCAATTTACCTATGTAAGATTTAGAGAATACCTTTCATGTATTTATTCTCTCACATTCTTATTGTAACCTCCATTACAAATAGAAAAATACAAATCAGAAATCATAATAGTTATGAATATACTTCCAAGTAATAACAACAATAATGCCACTAGAAATCATTAAATCTATTCCTCTCTTCCTCATTTGCAGAAACCAATAGATTACAATAATTGCAATTTCAGTTTTAACAGAAGGGGAAAGAGAGAAAGTAATGCAACACTGTACTAAATAATGCTAAACAATGTAAGTTCAGCCTTTACTCTGTTGTCCTTACCTTGGTACTACAATCTGTTCTATTCTTTAAAATGTATCAGAAGCTACAAGAAGTATAAAATTCTTTAGTTTACCTTCTGATAAGAACTAGTTGCAGAGAATATGAAATTCCAAATCTGGGCTGAAATGCACTTGTTGGTGATTTGCAACCAGCCCAAGGAGATCAATCGAGGCCCTTCAGTCATGTCAGCATTGACCTGATATATCAATTCCCCCCACCAATTGCTTACAGTTGGGTGGTAGAGTTAAAAATACTGCCTCCCCACAGGAAAGCCTACACTCTGGATGGGCAAACAATTAAGTACAATAAGTCATCATCATCTTCATCATTATCATTATCCTTTAGTATATCCTTGCAAAAGTCAATGAAAACTGCCTAGGAGAAGCCAGTCCTGCCATTTCTTTTCTACAAATGGTGCCAGTGCTTGCAGAACAGAGATATAACACTTCTGAGGGCACCTGAAATGAGTGGAAATGCTTGTTTCTGGAGCAGAAGCTAGCATAGGAGAGCTTTACTGATGTAGCCTGTTCCAGAATTGAGTATTCCTGCTCTTTTCGGGAGTTGTCCCTGAAAGTGCTAAACTTCCATTTAGCAGCCTGTGGGTGAAACTTGGAGAAGGAAATGGTGGTGGTGGGGTACCTGTCTGTGGAATGGAACCCTGCACTCGGTGCCCCACCTGCAAAATGAAGATAAAATGGTTGGCCATATGGACCCATCTGTATTTCTAAGTAAGCCCAGATGAAACAGAAACACAGAGATGTAATTATGAAAAAGAAATCTAGCAAAAATGATTATTGGAGGCTTTTCTATCATTGAGCCTAAATGATCATTATCAGAAGAACAATGAGATTCATACCTGGAGTCTTGACATTTCTCAGCTGTGATGGGGTATCATAAATTTCTAAAATCCAATCGCCAGCTGCTTTTTCACCCCAGCAATGAGTCGTCATGAACTCCCAGTTTTTAAATCCTTCCATGGAATGGTCAAATAACCTTGTAAAGAAATCAGTGGCAATACCAATCAATTTATATGAAAATGAAATTTGCATGTCATGACAATCCACAGTTAACAAAGCATGGTTGTGGAGAAGACAAACTGGAATTGAGTCTGCAGGCTGATTTCTATGCACCAACCTTCTCCCACTGTATTAAACAATCATGGGTTTAAAATATGGGTTGTTCATTCCCTAGCAATTGAGCTATTATAAATAACCCAGGAACAAAACATTCCTGGATTGTTCATTGCAGTGCAGGCAGGAACTAGTATGCTTGCTCAATCTCATTGCATTTTCAACAACCCACAGTTTGCAAACCATAGGTTTTTAATGACATAAGCAGGCCAGTGTGATCATTCTGAATTCAAAAATGGTCAAATGTCAGCATGGATGCCATTGGTATTCTTTTGCCTCTCTGCACTTAATGTACTGTGTTCCCTTTTTTATGTTAGTTACTATCAACTCTTGATTGTCTTTACAGCTGTTGTTAGAACCTTTCCTAGGTCATAAACCTCTTCTGAACTATACAGTATAGTGATAAATTTTATCTTACCATATTGGATCAGTTTTCCAATTACATCATGAGTGATAGATAGGATGCTGTTGTAACTTAAAGTAGCAATGACTTTTCTTCTTTGGTGAATCATACACAAGACTACTTGTCATTTGTATAAGTTGCTACAAATTTGTGGGAGACAAATTTTAGTATTGAATGAATGCCTTTATTTATTGAGTAATGGTGCAACCCTATACCCATGTATTCCAGAGTAATCTCTATTGAACTCAATGAGACTTCTGCGAAGACATGTGCAGAATTGCTCTTCAAGGAAAAAAGGTAAGAAAAGCCATGCTGGATCAGAACAAGGGGCATAGAGTGTATCGTTATGTTCACAAATCGGCCAGACAGCTGCTCACAAGACACCCAGAAGCAGGCCCAAGTGCAACAGCACTCTCTTACCCATGTTCCACCATATCCGATGTACCAGACATACTGCCATTAATACTGGAGATAGCATAAACCCATCAGAACTCATGGTCCGTGAAAACCTTTCCTCCATGGATTTGCCCAATAGGCCTTTCAGAAGCCATCCTGATTGCTGGCCATCAGCACACGAAGCAAACAAAAGCAAATGTTTTCCCTCCTTATACTTTCTCATGCTCCTTCCCAGTCTCCAGCAACACGTATCCCCAGAGCCATTTTTCATTGACTGAGTGCTTGCCTGGAACTATGTTAATGCATTTCAGCAAGGTTTGTTTCTGTCAATTATATCAACTCAGACCCTTTTGGAGGCTCATCAATATCCAGTTCAGACAGCAAAGGCAAATGGGGGTGATGAGGGTGGGGAACGAGACAAAATTAGGAATGGGAAAAACTCCTTTCATCAGATGAAACTCATTTCTACTTGAAAAAGTAGAATGGAGCAGTACAAAGCAGGAGAAAGAAGTTGAAAGTGAGAACAGTGCATTGTGCTTGTTAGTTGAATTCAGTCTGTAATTTCAGACACTATTTGGTCAAGAGCACTCAGGAAAATGGTTGTGAAACCAGTAATAGCAAACCACAATTCAAATGGCAAAGAAGATACATGTTGAGTGGAAAACATAAGAACATCAGATCAAGCAGTGCTATGCTGTGTTTTATTTACTCCAGTGATTTTGGGCAGCTCAAAAAGAGCACCCCCCCCACCCTCCTTGGTTCCACTGTTTGTTCTTACCACCTGATTCTTAGAGATATACTCTGAAGATACATGTTCTATTGCTACATTTAGATATTATATTATATTTCCTCGAACCGATGCAGTCCCCAAGAATATTGCAGCCCAGTATGGCTTATTTAAGCCGGTACCCTTTTTATTTTAGTCACAGTGGGTTGTGGCACATGCTAGTGTGTGCTGTTTGACTTCTTAACTGTGGCTTGAACAGAAATCCAAACCCTGGGAGGGTGGGTTGTTGGCCTGGCCAGCAAACCACCTAGAACCCATCCTGGGCTTTAGGATTCTGGGATGGCTTGTTAACCATGCCAACAATGTATCCTTGTCAAATTTGGATGTGACAACAAGCTATGGTCATGTCTTGAATATTCAAAATGGCTATTTGCAACCACATTGATTATGCAGATCTGTCTATTATGCTCCACTGCTGTGATAACAGGAACTTTTATTTACATGCTCATTTATACGTGAGTATATTGTGTTCACTCATCTGTTTCTATGGCACATAGTTCACATATCAAACATTTGTACACTCATGCTTTACTTTTTCCACAGCTCAGTCAGCAATATTTGAACCTGGGAAAATGTGATGCCTCTTTCAGGTACTGTATACATTGTTATTGTAAGGTTTGTGTGAAGACAGTTATTGCTTTAAAGCATGCCTTTAAAGGCGTACTGATCTTTCTGGACAACTACATGACAGCAGTACTAAGCCATATATCACTCTCACTCTCCTTGCAGCAATGCTCTGGTATTTTCTAAAAGTTGGACGAGTCACACTGACCAAGTTCATACCATCATAAACAGAGATATAAGCCATGGTGTCTGATTTCCCCCACTGTGTGTGCCACTCACATGGCAGGTGGATTTTACATAATTGCCTTTGCTTGAGTTGCTTGCTGCATTATGTAAAACTCAGTGAGGATGGCTTGCTGCTGTGACTGGCAACCCACTGTATAGTGGGTTATCCATAGTATCCTGTGGCACCTGACGGCAGAAATGCCGGGGGTGGGAGTTCACAAATTCACTCAATGCACTTCTCAGAAATGGACCCTGAAAGTAGGAATGGAAATGCAGTAATAAAATGCCTCCCCAACCTGTGGAGCAGGCCTCGCATGATTCCATAATCAGTGGCAAGAAAAGCTGCTGAGACATTGAGGAGAACCAACACTCCCCATCTCTCCCTAATAAAAGTCATCTGGTAGGCTGAGTATCCTGGTGCAAAGTTTAAGTGAAAGGTATGTCCTACTTGATGTATTAGGCTGATAATCTGAGACAGTCCCATGGGTGTTATAGAGATGGTGAAATCCTGAGGTGGTAAACACATGCCAGTTTCCATGTGGATGTTGATATCCCACAGAGCTATTGTCCTGGGGTTTTCCAACACTGCATGAAGAACTACCTCAGCCACTTTGGGCAGGGAGGCAGCCAGTCAGCATGGAAAACGATACACCGGCAACATCCCCGATCTGCTTCTTTGCCTTAGCATTAGGTGCATAGTCTCAAAATCTGTCCTAGAATTGAGATGTCTCCTGGAATGGAAGACGGATTCTGGTATCCCCTACCTGTTCTCTACTGTCCTCTATTCATCTCGGCTACTCAAGCAATACACAACAGGTTGTTTACCCTGTCTAGGTACTAACCTGGCATTAAATAACATCATCATTAGGCAAAAGGATGCAGTAGCAGAGGAACTAGGCACATGGGAGATGGAAGAAGAGACAGGCTGAAAATGCTTGTTGTTACTTGCTGTCAAATTGTCTCCAACTTATGATGGTCTTATGAATGAGTGCCTTCCAAAGTGTTCTGTTCTTGACAACCCTGCCACACTCTTGAAAACTCAAGAGTGCGGCTTCCTTCATAAAGCTGATGATTCTTCTTTACCCCAGTAGCATATTTCCCCTTGTCTAGAGCCACAATTGTACAGGTGCTTCTATCATCTTCCCATGATGACCAGCTAAGCACGTTTTACAATACTCTCCCTCAGCTTATCCAAATACTAGCCACCCTGGACTATTTCTGAGGAAGGGTGTGAGTTCAAGCAAGCAAGCAAACAAACAAGAAAATTCTTAAGTGGAGATTAATATATTCTCTGAAGTATGATGCCAGTTTCACTGATTCTGCTTGCCAAAAGATTCTAAGCTCTTACACCTGGACTAACATTTGAATACAACCTCACAAAAATCCAAAGTCATAAAATGTTCAATTGGAAACTCTTTGCGATCAGGATCAGGACTGACATAGCTCACCAAGTATGTCAGTATTGGTCATTAAAAGTAATTGCTGTAACCTCCATCTACTTAAAATATTGATTCTGTTTCATTTCTTCTGTATTTTGCACGTATTTCATCTCTCAAGGATCTGTCAATATCTGTTGTACCCAACACAAAAGATTACAGGTATATTCTAGCCTATGTTGATACCTGTAGTAGCATCAGATGTCAAATTTTCACTAGTTTCACTTGTCCTCAAGATATGTATTTCTGAGAGATTTCTCTACACAACTTCATTTAAATTGCATATACCCTATGCAGTGATCCTTGATCAGATTAAAAGGTGACTAAGCTTACTGTACCTGTTAGCCAGAAGCTGAGATCTTGTTCCAGAAGGAGAAGTCAAATAAATTGCCAGGTCACCCCTCCGAGGATGTGTAATAGTGATGCGTACTACAACATGTTCGAGATAGATTACATGGTGATTGGGATTATCTGCACAGCCTGTGGCTTTGTATATTGAGCGAACACCATTGTCTGGTCCATTACGGATATTATCTGGTCGTATTGTTCTGTTTGAAAAACACCAATATAGTGAATACCACAATTCATTCATTATATCCTTAAAGTTGGATATAATTTAATTTTTGTAGTAACAAAATGGATAAACTTTTAATCACAATTGTCTGAGTATCTGCTCAACTCTTTGCTTCCTGTTCATTAGAAGAAATCAATGGTATCTTCACTTCGGTAGTACTGGAAGCTAAAAGATAAGCATTACTGCAAATTAATTCCAAAAGTGTGAGATTACAGAACATGATTTATATATTATTTCATTTCCCCCTATTTCCTATTATTTATTATGTTTCAGAAGTAGTGTTCCTAGTCTACAAATGTGTGATGACAGGATTTGGTCACAAGCTACCGTAACTTGTTTCTAAAACTCTTCCGATAAAGCAGGCACATATTACGGGTAAGGTACAAATAAATACTTGTTCTTACACCCAAACAGCAGACAGTATATTTCCATACAACAATTTTAATCAAATGGTAACATTTAACACAACAGGTCGATGTTGTGAAACAACTGATATATATTAGCTATTCAAATATTCTTATCGTGCGACTATCCATGGAAATGAGCTTTTCAAATAGTAATGTGATCCACAAGGCCTGCAGTGAACAGAGGAGACTTGGAGAACTGAAGGAACTCAAGTACAATCTACTCTAAGTCTTTGCATGTTGAGGGTCCTTACATTGTTAAACTATGTTTTTGCCAAAGTACCCTTTGTCTTACTTTTGGATCAGGCCTTTATAAAATGCTGCGAGGTCTTACTTATGACTGGATTGGATTTATTTGATTAGACCTGATAAATACTACCTTCCACAGGAAGCTGAAGAGAAACTACTGCTCATTGACTTGAGATCCAGAATATAAGCAACAATGAAGAATAGAGAAAGAGGACTGAACAGAAATGTGGCAAGTTTGTAGAGGATTCCCATTCATCATAATATGCTGGTGTCCCTCTGCATGTACACAGTAAGTTGGGGGTGTGAAGATACGGATATCTGTTGAATTGTATTAGGATCCCTCTGTGCAGAGCTACAGTACAGTACAATACAGTACTGTGCAGAGCTATACAAGCAAGGTTTATATCCCAAGTGTTTAATTAAAATAATCAATAAGCCTGAATTGAAACAGAATAACAGCACAAATGTGATTAACAAGTATCCTTGTTCAAAAAGTAACCTGTATCCAGGGTTTTTAAGCTGGAAAGTTGGCTTATACCATGCTCTTAGCATGTATATATTAGGGCCATGGATGTGGATCTGAGTAAGACTAAAAATAGCCAGCCCATATCTGAGAACTGTGCAGATGTTGTGTGTATGTTGGTGGTGGTGGTGGTGGTGGGGGAGGGTTGCACCTACTTTCCTTCAATTCTAATATCCTTAAATTCAACTGAAGGTCTTAATAGCTGTATATATACACGCAGGCTTTCTCTGTGATGAGGAATCATGCAAAAAGTAGGTTCCCTAATCATACATCATCTGAGAGCAGACATCTTAGATCTTGGACCCAAAGCCGCAGAGTGTTCTTGAAGCTAACCTTCCCTACACTGATGGCTACCTGACACTGATTCAAATAGCTTATTTTGACTTTCTCATACTGAAATTCATAAAAGAGGAAGTGTTCCCATCTGAATTACTAGATGGCATTGTGCACCAGCTTATCCATAGATGGAAGCAGCCAGGAGAGTCGTGCATTACATAGCCACATGTTGGTTGTAATCAAACAAATGCTATAGAAGCCATCATGTACAGCCCTAGCAAATACATCAACAAATGGTTTTCAGCAAGCATTACTTGATTTGCCGATCTGTGTTCTCAACACACACATGTTGTGGAGGGACTGTTGTCCACTTTTCTGCTTCTATCACCATGGCTTCAGCATCCATCAACCCAAATCCATATAGGTGGCTAACTGAAAAATATAAGCAATTGTAATGATCAAAAAACAGCTCCTTGCTCTTTCATAGAATATAACAATATTTTTTCACCTTGTAAATAATATTCATTTCTTTTCTCCAAATATCCCTTGTTTAGAATATAAGCTATATCTGACCTGTCTGGAGTTACCAGTCATATCCATATTAATTGTTCTATTGTTTGCTGGTAATGTCAGATACGCATTTGAGCCATACACTTATGCCAATTCTCTTTTCTTCATGTGACTGCAAACACAGGACAGTCAAGTATTGGAAAGTATTAGTATTTACTTGATAGTACATGGAATCTAGGAACTGTGACAGCTGAAAAAACCTAGTGCAGCTGAAACTGCAGAAAAATCTGCCAGCAGTCTTTGGATATCACTTGGTTTACATTACCATTGATAAACCTGGTTTAACGTCTGCATGGTGTTTAGTATACAATAGTGTACAGTAGTTTGAAGGATAATTATTGCTGTAGAATGGTTTTGCATGCATGCATGCATCAACCAGTCCTACACCTGATATTCTGTAGTAATAAATAGCAGGAGAATAATACATGTGACATCATAAGAGGCATGTGGAAAAGAAGTACAGCATGCATGTTTGAACTAGTATAAATTGAGTGCCTTTAGCTTTTCCTGACTCAACTCAACTTAGTCCTTAGCCAAAGTTATAAAGTTAATACTAGAAAGATTTTATCCATAATAATCCATTAACCATTGTTACACAAGCATCCTGGTGCTGGCTACAGTTGAGTTTTGCGTCAAACACAGGCTATAGTGTTTAAAAATTTCCCTTATTCTTATGTATAAATTTACACTGTAAGCCAGGCTGCGGCAACCTAATAGCCTCCTGACATGTTGTGATACAACTCCTATTACTCTGCTGGCAGGGGGGTGATGAGAACTGTAGTCCAAAACATCTGGAGGGCAACAGGTCAGGGAAGGAGACTGACTTTTGCTTATGTTGCTTATATAATATACACATTAATAAAATTGGTTGTAATACTCACAATTTACTGACAATTCTGAGCATCTGATGCTGGGAAACATGTATTATAAATATATACTTTGTTAAACTGGCCTTTCATTTTACTATTGTCTTCAAAGATGGGCAGAACAAACTCCACACTGCCATTTTTAAAAAGTCTGATATTTAAAGTCTATTTTTTCACTGCTGAGGAAGAGATCATCACTCAAGGTTCTACTGCTTATAGTAATTTCCCATGACTGATATTATTCTTAATCTTGCAAAACTTTTTTTTGTGATGAGAAATGAAAGGGAGTAAGATGTACCCAGCCATTTTAAAAATGCATGCACACAAGAAATTCTCCCTCCAGCCCATCCACTTCAAAACAACATAATGTGCAATAGTGTTGGTAAGGACTAACATGTGGAAATGTTCCAGACAGCTGATATTTGGCTGTCTGCAGTGCTTGCACTTCAAAGTCCCCAATCAAATGAGTTTGGCCAGCAGCTGCAGGAACTGAGAGAGGGCCATCATTTTCACAGACAAAATAATAATAATTTTGGAAAACATTATAGAGTTGATAAAAGTAGCTGATCCCCTACATTTCAAAAAAAAGCATTCATTCACTGTACATAACCATTAAAACTTTCAGGTTAGAATTATTACTGCTGCCTCCACCTGACATTAATCAGTTCTGGACCCCTCAGAACTGCAACATAGACATGAAAGACAGCTTTATATTGAGTCAGGTATGCCTTTGTTAGCAAAGTTCTGTGTAATGCAGACAAACTACAGTAATACCTCGGTTCACAAATGCTTCTGTTCATGAACAATTTGGTTCGCGAGCAGAAAGTTCGGCAAAATTTTGCTTCCGTTTGCGAACTCTGCATCAGGTGACAAACACAACCACGGCCATCTTCCCTGCATGAACATGAACGTGGCCATCTTCCCCGCTCTGACACATGGTTGCGGCTTCCTCTAATTGAGATTGCCGTTCCAGACTCTCCCTCCAAACAATAAGCTCCTCCCCACCCACCTTCCTGTCTTCCACATCAGAAGTTGCCTCAAGCAAGGTTAGTGTTCTCTCTCTTCCTACTGTACCGTACTGTACTTTGTTTCATATTTTTGTGGTTAAAAAAGGAGTAACCTTATTTACATTGAACCTTATGGGGAAATTTGACTTGGTTCGCGACCAGTTCAGTTCGTGACCAGAATCGTGCAATGAATTAAGTTCATGAACTGAGGTATCACTGTACTAATTCCCTTTTGTTAAGTATCTTTATTGGGTTCAGCTGCACATTTATATCGATGGCCATCTTGGAAGTATAGCAGCAAGGGAGAAATGTAATAGTGTTTCTTAACAGATTCAAAAATGTTTCTCAGTGGACAACCTTTGTCTTACACCAACCAATACCCTAAAGCATATTATGCCACTCCATCAGTTTTGGAGGAAAGGTTTTCTAAATGTATGACCTTGTTTAATTTGATAAGCACTTTTATTTGGAGATAGAAGAAATAGGTTTCCTTTCTGGAATCCATTTTCTGCAAGGGGGTCAGGCAGAGACCCTCTTGGGAGTCTCTAAATTAGTCCAGCATTTCAGATGCTTGAGATAAGTTTATGGTTGCCAATTCCACACATTGCACCTCACCCCAACTTTCATCTTCCTCATAATCCTAATGCCACTCTCACTGTTTCTCCCTTCTGCCTAATGTCATCTCTCACTTTCCTCCCATGCTGCTGTTTATACGTGTGAGGCTTTCCTTTTCCCTGCAACCTTAGATTCACTGTGTTCAGATGCTCTGTGATATCAGTTAAGAGAGCCGAATCAAAAATCCATCCAGGGTCGGAAACTACTTCTTGACCTTTTCCTTTCTCCTTGAGAAAGACATCAATTTCATGATGAAGCCTGAAAAGTTGTTTGAGGACTTTGCTTCTGCTAAGCCACCTGACTTCTGCATAGTACAATACATCTTCATCTGCAGGTTAGAGGGTCACACAGAAAGAGCTTGGGGGCCACATAAGGTCTGCAGGCCCCAGGTTGGGCACCCCTGCTCTAGCCTACTCCAATTAAAAGTCTTACAGCTGCATTCTGAACAGTTTTTGGTGAGCTGAAGGTAACTCTGCAGACACATCACAGTATTCTCATCTAAAGGTTACTTGAGTGTGGAGCAATGCAGCAAGATTATTTCTGCCAGGGAGAGATTGCTCTGCATGTGATGGTACACATCTGGATCTTCATTAAGACTGCTAGATTAATTAGCACACATCCTAAACATGATAAGGATCACTTATTGGTATTTCAGAGAAAACAGGCCCCAATCACATATCTGTCTTGCCAGGGTTGAGCTTCAGTTGTTTTCTGTCTGTCTGTCTGTCTGTCTGTCTGTCTTTCATACACTGCACCAATAGTCCTACATAGGACACTCTGGGCAGTTTGCTCCTCATCTGTTAAGAAAATTAGCTGTCTCCTGTATTATAGTAAAACAATGTTTTGTAATCTTATTATAATGCAAGACAGATACTTTATGTAAAGGAAAAAATGAGAACCAAGGAAAAACTATTGGCAAAATGTATTTCTGAATAGGCTGAAGTTACTTCAAACTTTTTTTTTACAAAATATATCACATATTGATGAGCATTATTTCTGAGTTTGGTTGCTTCTGCCAAGTTTCCTATATCTTAAATCCCTTGCATTTGTAACATACTAGGAATGTATGTAACTTAATTTGATTTGAAGCAGGAAACTGAAGTGTATCCAATTAAAAATAAGTAGTGTTCTTTTTATTTTGTAGTCATAAAATAAACCCTCTCCTGAATTGTGAAGCCAAGTAACGTTTTATGATTAAAGAAAAATATGAACAGTGACACAAGGCTAGTTCTGTTTCTGCCTAAATGTGTGTGTGTGCGCACACACATACCACTATACAAAAAATACATATATACTATACATGTTTAGCATATACACTATACACACATATCACTATACAAAAAAAATGGACTGAAACAAAATAAAAGCCAATGACAACCAAGTAACCGGAAAAAAAATCAGAACTACCATGTACCTTTGACTGTCAATAATTTTATAGATGTACAGGGCAATCCTTTACCTCTTAGTAGTTATACTCATTGTATTCAACAGAGATTAAGTCCATGTAAAGTTTTTAGCCAATTTTGACACCTTGTCTGTAGGAAGGAACTGCTGGAAGAACAGATGCTTCCTTGACCCTATATTTGCCAATCCTCCACAAACTCCTCTGGAAATTTGGATATCCTTCCTTACTGTTCATGGGGCTACAGGGAGAAAGGGGTCGATGGGGAAATTTTATGGTAAATTGATGCATAAGATTTCCACTTTTGTGAGGTTTGGATACATAGGATGTAGAAGTGTGCAAAGGATTTCGGCCTTAGCCTGTCTAGAAAAAATAGATTTTCTATTAAAGATTGCAGAAAAATACAATAGATCAGAATACCTGGATACTAAATTTGTTTGCCAAACATATATAGAGAAATAGTAGATAATAAAAATAAATAGACCTATTTGATTTCACAAAAATCAAACTGTGACAATAAAGGTATTTGTTTCAGTATTTAATCTGGTCTAATTTAGTTACTTGGTTTCATTGATTCCTGAATTTGTGGTACGTGGCCTTTTTCTTTTCCAGAAAATTATTGCTAAAATTAAAACATTCAAAGTATGTTCTACAATACAATGGGAGCAATAGATGCAAGGCAATAGAAGTTTAATAAGATACATTTGTTTAGACGTCTGTGATCTTTATTCCTGCATGTGTGTGGTTTGCCAGGTTTACCCTATAAAGAGAAGGGTAGGAGTGGCAGCTGTATCAAGTTTAGGTTAAAGCATGGAATGAGGCTGGCTTAATCTAAGTCTCTTAGATTCTAAAATGCTTTTAAAAGTCATCCAAGTAGTTTCTAGTATGAACATGTGGGGTTATTCAGAGCAGCCTTCTGATCCGTGATGCTATTTTTTCATTGCTGTACCCACACAACTTTCTACTGTTAAC